ACCGCAAGTTAGACGTATTTCGTATTTTCACATGCGATACTGTTTTTTTGTTTATTTGGAATTTGTAAAGGTGTCTAGGAAATTTTTTTATAGATTTTTATCTGCGTTGAAATAATCTGACCTCTCAAATCAGTTCAGAGGGAATACAGAAATAAGGTAAATCGTGAATGTTGAAGAATGAACATGCCTTGTTAGAACAGAAATAGTACTAAGAAGAATATACCTTGTTAGAACAGAAAAAGGAAAATAAGAGTCGATTGTGATGTTTTATCCAATATTAGTCTGTTACTTCTAATGATAGAAGAAATTTTCAAACAATGCACGGTGGAGTCGTCTTTCGAGACCTCTACCTGCTTCACTCTGAACTAGTAATTGATGCACTTCAACCTGAACGTGATGCTCTACATAGTCCTCTACATGTTCATCAGCCGGGTTTGGTATATTTTTCTTGATGCATTGGTTATGAAGTATGGCAAAAAGGCTGCACTAATTTCGGCGCATTTAAGGGGTTCATTTTGAAGGTTTCATCCTAGTGGGACAGGAAAAATACATTCTTATTAAATAGCTAAGATGGGTAGTATGTACAAATGATCGTTTTTATAGTTGGGCAGGAGTTTTAATGATTATTCTATAGCTCATACCTATTGCTTGCACTTATGTTGTTCAGAATTTATTTTTTCAAGTTGACCAGTCTTCAATTATACTTGACAGGGAATAATGTTCATTTTAATTTTTTGTGACGTCAGGACTCTAAAAGTTTGTTCAATGATAGCTCTAGTTCTGGTGTGGCATCTATTGAAGTCTTCCTCAGCTGGTAATGCAGGTTTTGCAAATGGTATTATCAGGAATGGCTCAAGGGGATAACCATTATCTCCTGTAAGAAAATTATACAGAGAATAAAACATTTACTACATAATAACTCATTTGTTTGTTTCAACGTTGTTTTGCAAAGTAAATTTTTAAAGTCATTACAGGAGCATAAATGCATATAAACTTCAAATGTTACTATTATGTTAGAATGCTATTCAAATGTTAGAAAATTATTTTTGCACAAAATACAGCACAGAATCATTATTAGATTAGTTTACTCATGTTAACTCCCTCAAATTAACATTTATTGGGCCCACTGTAATTCATAGTTCACACAATAGAAATTTCTAGTGGGTAGTTTCATTACGTTTTAATATCTAATCAATAATGCTTTCCTTATCCGGGAACAAAAATTTTTTGTATTAATCCATAAGAAGTCAGTGCCGTCAGAAATTGGGTATACTATACATAATATTTACTATTTCTTTCAATTTCCTCTTTCAACTCATTGTTTACCATTTAATCACTCAGCTGTGAACTGGCAACCCATAATCCAGTATACTTTATATATACCGCCGTTTATCCTTTTATCCAACCAATTACAAATTTTACAATACGGTTGCCAGAGAAATAAAGTGGGCCCATTTGACCGCACCCGCACCCACGGCGCCGGCAACATATAGTTCGGGAAGATGGAAATACGTCCAGGGAAAAAATACTGCAACGTCGAAATTTGCAAGCATTTCAATTTTGATATTTTGTAGAATGTCTACGAGCTGGTGAGTTCCTATTATCTGGATTTTCAAAATGCACAATTAAAAAGAATGTGCAACAGCATGTTTACTTTTATTATCGTGAGTTGAATCAATCGTTCTGAGTAGTGATGAAGTTTCCTGGGAATATCTATCAGTAAATTGCCACGTAATAGAATAGAATAGAAGTGTCGGCTCTGAAGAAATAGGCATATTACCTGTTGCCGATTCTCGAATTTTTCGTGACTTGATTCACAAGGGATCTGGCCTTGGAACCCGATCTTTCCATAACTGACGATTGATTGAATAGCTGCTGGACTTTTTGCCTGGCCCGTAATTTGCTAGGCATTTTAAGACTGAACATATGCTCCTGCATAGCTTCGTCTAGTCTGTTCTTGAAGATGTTCATACTCGGAGCTTCAACGATGCTATCAGGGAGGCTGTTCCACATGTCGGTGACTCGAAGCGAGAAGAAATGTTGTCGCATGGATGTGTTCCAACGCTGTTTTTTTAGTTTATAGTCGTGGCTCCTGGTTTTGGTTCTTGTTTCAAATTCTAGTAATTCTTCTGGGACCTTGTATAAGCCATGAGTATACTTGTATACTTCAATGAGGTCCCCACGCAGACGTCGATAACTGAGGCTAGACAGCTTCATAATCTTTAATCTTTCCTCATAATACTTGCCTTTCAAGCCCGGAATTATCCTTGTTGCACGTCTTTGAACACTCTACATATATTAAATTTTTATCCTTTTCAAGTTTCGGTGACTACACAACGTTTCCAAATCTAGGTTCGGGCGCACGACAGCAACAAACAACTGCTTCATCGCTTCTGCATCTAGCAACTCGAAAGAGCGTCTGATCAGTCCAAGTCGTTTATTGGCTTTATTAACTTGACCTTTACAGAACAGTTTAATGTTTGATTCTACTGTATTGATTAAAGGTTTGAGGATCTGTAATACAGTTTAATGTTTGATTCTATATACACGAACGGAAAACTTAAAATTTTGGGTGTGTCTTACATAATAATGTAATAATTACATTAACTACATACTCTTGGATTATGGAATGATGCGACATGAGTTTGCACCGAAGAACATTCACAGCGGACGCTCATAAGATTTAATTTAATTATTTTTACAAATTCAAATAACTTTTATATAAATTTGGGCTGAAAAGGAGATTGAAAATTAATACTAACCAAGATTAAGTTCCTTAAATTTACGACCTTGCCTTCAGGTGTATTGCAGGTATCTATTACATTTCATTTTTGCTATAATTGTTTTTCAATCACTATGCTATGATGACTCATCTAGTAATGCACTGCTTTTTAACCCAACTTATCACACTATTTGAGGTGCCGATGTATCCGTGAGCTGATTTCTGTTATCAGAGATCAGCGCAGGAATATGGAGCATTACATTCAGCAGCGATGAGTGGCATTCGCTTAATCAATGATTACTCCCGGAACTGTTGTTAATTTGGGGTAACGTTTACTTCTCATATATCCACCTTATCAGATTACGGTTCAATTGCACCTAATATTTTACGTAGATATGAGGTGAATTGCGGCTTCATGAGTACACAGTCGTATCGAGGATTGATGTAAAATTTTCCAATTAAAGCTAATAACCTCTTCGTTAGTTTGTATGATATATAGTCCCGTAAGTTTTTCACTCTGTTGAAAAGACTCCTTAAAATATTACAGGAATAAGGACAACAGGCTAAAGAAAACTCCAAAAAAATTCTAATGAATTCTTTATAATATACAACAGATCATTGTTAAAAGTAAAATTGAGCATGTCTCTAGTGTACTATTTAGTTCCCATGTCCAACAAAGCCAATTTTCAATAGAATATAGCACGATAATTTTAGCTTTCTCGACACAGTCTAAATCATTTAACGCGAAACCTGTACAAAATGAATTTAAAATTATTTCAACTTCTACTAGTGTCATTCCGCATGGCAGGGTTGTAGACACTCGTTTGGATAGAAATGAATCCATGTATACATAATGGGATAAAAGTGTGCACCAGCATGGAATATCACGACACTCACTTTCGGGAGATTTCAGATGCGGCCTTCGATTGAGATGCGGCTCATTGAATCATTTTTGAAGTAATTTCTTAAAGTGGTTTTTGAAGGGATTCTGGCTTGTAAGTTCCAGGACATTGTCGAGCAAAATTTCAGTGAGGACATCCATAGACAAGAGGCTCTATTTTATATAATTCGATAAATGTATCCGAATGGATCAAATTCAAGCTAATGAGTGCGGCCTTGAGAGAGAGAATTGACTTCTGATTTTGATGACGTAGCAGGCGCAGACGGCCAAGCCATTTTTCCAACAGTTCCTTATACCTGACACCACTGAACGAATCCAAAGCAAACTCTTGCTGTAAATAGTTCAGATTTAGAGATTGTTGTGCCAAAAGTCGCCTAATGACCTTCATATAAATCATGACTCTCATTGCATAGCACTCTATCTTTCATCTTAAATTCCCCGACGCAACAGCACGTTCTCTGTGGGCGAAATTGGGTATTTCCAATATGGTTTTTCCGTAATTGACTTATGGTATTTATTTATCGGTATTTAGAACCATGATAGATTTAATCATTTTCAAATTGACATAAAATTTTGATTTTCAATCGTATGTTCTCGTCTCCAAAAAATCTTACACGGCCGTGCCTGCATAAATATAGAACATCAAAAGTTACCTTGGGGTCTAACGTACGGTCAATAGAATGCACTGTATTATATTATTACCTGTAAAACACGAAAATGTTATAGCCAAGTTTAGGTCAGCCTTTAACTAGGAGATGTGTTCTTATCTATGCTGACACATGGGTAATCATTTTATCTATGAACTTTCTTGCACAGTGACATTATCTACCGAATAAGATTTGTAGAGATTAGTGGGTGATTTTTATGCACTCCAGTGTGGCTCAGTTAAACATAACGAATAGTTATTGGTAAATCCATTCAATCAAGTGATAATGGCATTCAAACTAAAATATAAAATTAATGTGATCTTAATTTCAAGGCTAATTTACCTTAGATCATAAAAAAATATCAGTTGAAGTGACAATTAATGCAATGGAAAATTATTACTTATTATAATTTGACCAATATTCATTCAGACTTTGAAATAGTATATTGAACATTATACTTCTCCTTGAAAATAAGATCAATAGAGAAGGGAGCCGAAAAAACAGGGATACATTCAACAAAACGGTGGGTTAGCGTAAGATTCTCTGCGTTGAAGCAGTGAACTTTACACGAAATCAAAACATATAATATCGTGCCACATCAAGTAGTGACTAATTAATGTAAAATAAATAAATTTGTTTGTTTGACCGCGCATATGAATCACTGATAGATAAGATCGAGCGATAAGATAGATACAGCAAGTATAACATGCAGGGCAGGGTCTCAGTCAGTGCATTTTTTGGTGGTGACTGAATACTAACGGCCTCGTTGTGCTGCAGCCTAAGGTAACACTTTTGGTGGGCCGCTGGCCCACCATTTTTTTAAACTAAATTCTTGATAAAGTATTAATTGATACGAGATTGTTCTTGTTTTTTCTACAGCTAATACTACTGATAAATACATGATATGAATTAGACGCCTATTAATTTATTCAATTTTAATGAGAAAGTATTTTCTGAAATGTGTCAAAATGGGCCTATTGCCCAACCGCTGGGGCAATGGGCTCATGGGCTTGGGGCAAGGCGCCCACCCCCTGGGGCCCTCTATAACAATTGCTTTTCTTCTTTATTTAAAAGATTATAAAAGAACTTTCAACAGCTCAACATAGTAAAAATTTATTATTTATTTTTTCGTTCATTTAATAAATACTTGAGATAATATATCCTTATAGGACAAATTTATTCCTGGCTTAAAAAAATGTATCACTGGCGTGAAAACCATTTCCTTTATATAAAAATAGACGTCTTTGACTTGAAAAAATATATCCTTCCCCATAAAATATGCTTGACCAGAAGAAGCTTCAAGTTTATAAAACAACTAATTCTACGAAAAACATGAAATTCATTTCAACCAGTTACTTAAAAAAAAAAGATTATTTATCATTAGCAATCCTATTCGCTATCACTGCTCTTACAAATATATCTCCGACCATTATGTGTACACTCTTAATGAGCCCATTATGAGCACGTCATTCATTGAATTAATTTTTTTCGAGAACGGCTATTTGCAAACGGCCCATTCCAAGCAAATCCATTCATAATTTTCTGAACTCGCACTTTTATTAAATTGGATTCGGCGACTACAGGATGCGAATACTCTTAACTTGGTTTGCTTTCCTTTTCTTTTTTTCGTTCGCGCTCAGTTTTCTAAGACAGTTTTTAACGGCGTTAAAGTAAGATTTGTTGCCTTTTCTCATTTCCGAGTCCTTGTTCATTTTGTTGATATACTAAGAGAAGTAACAATCTGTGGCCTTAAGTGATTTGCCACTCTTAATTTCTTCCAGGGCATTCTGAAGTTCAGTTTGGGAATAGTTGATTTTATTGGTCTAAATGCTATAGTTGCGCGTCGTATTGTAACTGTAAAAGAATTATAATGGGTCGTTGGTCATAAATATTTAGAAACTATATGCTGCTACCATGTGAAATAATAAAATTCAAAATATAATTCGAAAACTTATTATACAATAGGATGGAAAATAATTCTAAAAAGAAATTCTAAAATCTAGTCATAGTTTTGCACAGCTCATTGAGACACACAGTGAGACACAGCTCAAACCATTGATGTATAGCACAAGACTTCACAGAGAGGTATTAAGTCCACCACCACGGGCGCTTTGTCCCGTGACACGCGTGGGCCCGTTGCCCCACTAGATTCTATTTCAAGTTACCTCATGTCAATATTTTATATTATTAACAGCTAATGTTCTAAACTTAAACTCAAAATTACCCTTGTATGCTTTAAACATATAATAAACAGTACTTTGAATAGCTTCATATAAAGTGATGCAAAACAGCTTTATTTGGCGGCAAAAAACTTTTATATGACTAAAACAGTTATTTGCAAATAACTTACCGAAAAAAACTCTTAGCACAACGTACAGTCGCACTCTGCAACCCAGTGAAACTGGGCTGCAGAGTCTGTTGCGCTGCCGGTAGAGCGCAACTGACCGATTTCTGGTGTACCTAGCGGGAAAACCGATGTCATGGGCCCATGACCCGCAGTGCGCTGGTGGCCCCGAGGTACAATGTAGTGTTACACATTTTAAGAGTTTTATTTTCTGGTAAAATTAAAATTTTCACCAACCTAACTCTTGCTTGGCAACACCGTTTAGGAATATAAAGTCGCTTTCACAATTTTCTCTTCAGTCGTTATCTTTCGGCTGATCCCCGCAGCAGGTTAGTCTAAGATCAAATAGGTTTCTTTATATTATCTTAATACTTGTTGTATTGCATTATCATTTTGTTATAAATATCTCAAACGACGATTATGTATTAAATCCACTCTTCAACAGGTACTACTGCTCTTCAACAGGCTTGTTCCTTGCTTCTTTGACCACATTTTGATTATTAATTATTATTATTATTACTATTAATGAATACTGCAATAAATTCCTAGTTCCTATATTTTCATTTCCAATCTTGCTTACAGTGCGGGAAAGACTGGCACTTACCCCACAGTCCTCAATTTTGAAGCAAGTTGAATAAAGGAGAACTATATGTGGCGAAAACGAAAAAGCAGAAAAACCCAATCGAAATTAGAGACCTTCTGACTAGCAGCTTCAGGAGCTGCCACGCTTCAGAATTTTATTTGGAAAGAGGATATGTCACGGAAAGTATTTGAAAAAGAGAAAAATATGGTAAGTAATTGATATAAATTCCATAAAAATAAAATTAGAATGCCGACAACTATGAATTTTTTGAATACCTGAACATTACCACAAGTTTTACTATCAACAACATAGTCGTCAGTCTTCCCATCAACGCAAAACTTGAGAAAAAAATGTTCAGAAACGGACACTCAAAACATCACACATGATTAGAGCTGTGATGGTATTTGTATTACATAAAATTTTTTTCATAGGAGTTGTGCTGATCTCAACTGCTATAATTTTGTGAAGGATATCTATGTGTTTATCTTGTACCTCTGCAATCATTTGATTTTTCAGTCATTTTGTGTTCAGAGCCAGTTGGTTAATGAAGCGAAATTTTTAATATAAAGTGACTATTAATTCCTATCAGAATTAAGATTTACCTCAACAGTTATTGTACATTAAAGGCAAATAGCCGATTAGGGACAAAAATAATACTTAAAATTAACATCCTTTCTAAAAAATTTCCCATTTTTTATTATTTACAGCAGAGGACACTCATGGACCACAAATTGGCTGTCAGCTTACTGCTCCTTGCCTTTCTGGTAATCGCGTCTTATATATAAAAATAACTTGGTTTGGCTTGGGTGCAATTAATAATCATATACAGTATACAAACACTGTCTATATTAATATTAATCGGGTCTGGCGTTGAGCGCTAGAGAAAATCCCAGAGCCGCCCTAGGAAGCCGTTCAATATCAAATAATAATACATGAGATAAATCATGTAATAACAATACTGAATTCCAATTATTGAGCTCTACCTAGCACAGCTGTTTCGTGTACTCCCAAATCCAAAGAAAACCAGAGCTGGGCAGCGCTACTTTGAAATGTAGCGCTGCTACCGCTACCGCTACCGCTACATGCTCTAAATGTAGCGGGCGCTACCGCTACCGCTACACCCACTAGATTGTAGCGAGCGCCACCGCTCCCGCTACAGTAAAATGTAGCGCCTCTACAATGTCCAAAATTATTGGAAATCTCTAAATATTTGTTCTGCTATTGGGATTTACTCGTAAACATTTAATGATAATAAAACATTTTCAAAACATATCAATGCAACTTTATTGCAATTAACCTTACCGAACTAGTTCGGGTTAGATACAGAAAATAAAAGTTACAGTTATTTTTATGTTTTACCTTCCCTACATGGATGTCTACTTTAATCTACCAATCTCAAAAATTATCCGCACATACATATAAAAAATCACTCTTTTATTTGTATATATATGTGGATTATTTTTTAGATTGGTAGATTAAAGTAGACATCCATGTAGGAAAGGTGAAAGATGAAATTAACTGTGTAAAAATAACTGTAAGCAAACTGAAACAAGTAAAAATACCTGTAAGTAGTAACTGGTAACAACTTAACAAGTAACAACTAACATATTGACACTATAGTAACAGGCTGAAGTTGACAACATTACACCGAAATCTTTCGTACAGTTTTATTCTGTAATTTATATTATGTATATATCATGCTTGTTTTTAAATAATATTTAATACTATTAAGTAAAATCTAAAGGCTTTAACTATAAATGTAGCGGTAGCGCTGTAGCGGCAAAACCTCGTATCGCCACTTAAATATGTAGCGGGCGCTACCGCTACCGCTACAATTGCTTAAATGTAGCGCCGCTACCGCTACCGCTACATGTAGCGCGCTACTGCTCACCTCTGAAGAAAGCAATTGATGATAATTCTATTATGAATGTAATATTAAAATCTGCTAAAAACTCCGGAAGAACATACATTATTTATTTATTTATATTCAGCAGAATACAAATTCATTAATGATTACCGGACAAAAAATTAAAGCAGAGATTAACGAATCGTCCAAATTTGATAAAATAAATTCTAATTAAATCAGAACCCCATTTAAACCCTAGTTTAAATTTGAATTCAACATCAGTTTTGTTCATTAAATCAAACTTGAGCCCACCAGAGGAGAATATTATTTTTTGTTATTTATTCAATTTTCGTTCGTTACGCCTGATTGTCTTGCCGGTACTGTGCTAGAACAAAACACTGCAATACACTGCGATTATATCTGCGCCTAAGACTAGACAAAATCATCAGGGGCCGTATTATCAAAACTTCGTAAGTACGCAAAATCGACTTACGAGTGGCGTTGCTATGACAACGTAATACTAGCGGTGGTATTATAGAAGCATATGCGCGGGAAAAATTTGCGCGGGAAAAAAATTTAGGCTTTTAGCTAAGACTTGCGTACGAAAGTTTTGATAATGCCAAAATTAGGGTGTATTTACGTACCACAGATCTTTTTTGTCGTAAGTACAAAAAGTTACGAAGTTTTGATAATCCGGCCCCAGAACCGTACAAATAAAAAAGAACAGAATTATTCCAACTTCCAATTCAAAATGCGACAATATCAGTTTCTCATATTTGAATTTCACAACAACCACAAGGATCATTACGTATTCACAAGTAACATATAGTACGCACAGGTATAATTTTACTTTATGAGCGTTTTGATTGCGGCAGTATCATGTAACACCTAATATCCTTTATATCCACAAACGTCATTTTGTTCACGACAGTATCCCATTACTGGTGTTACGGGCTACAGCTGGGATCCCGGCCCCTACTCTAATAGCGCCGATGCCTCCCTGATGTCGTGCAGCCCCGAGAAGCAAGCAGGTACGCGGCGTGAATAAGTTCATTTCTTATTAGCTTTGCCGAAGAATGATGTTCCATTATGTATTAAATACATGATTATCGGCAGATTGATGATTAGATTATAACGAATTTATTACTTCCTTTCATTTGATAAATGATGAAAAGGCTAAATTTATGATTATGATGAAATATGGAAACTATACTGTGACTATCTACCAAAAAACAAGTCAAGATTTTTCTCATGCATGCATATCATACACCACATACTCCTATTAATTCAAGAAGATAACGAAAAATCATTCTAACCTAACCTAACCTCAACCCTAAATAATTTTAGTTTACCCTGTCGAGAAGCGGGAACTTCTGGATCAAGAAGCGGGAGCTAGAACCTGATGTAGATTCAAAAAGGAAATAATACTTTCCAAATTGGAATTCCCACTCGATGTGCTGAGCAGAGCCTTTTGAGGTCTGCCAATGCAGGCTCAAAAATGTAAAAATAATCTGAGAATATTTATTCATACAAAATATCTTAAACTTATTTTAAACGTCTTAATTTACGGCACTTGGTACAGCGATAACTAATTGGGCTTCATCGTCGTCATCTGCGTTATAACAGGAGCCTTTACGAGATAAGGCGATCAATCAAACCAATCCGACGGCCAAAATGGAATTGATATCTGGAAAATCGGACAATTGATAAAGCAAAAATCAAATAATTTTATCTGAATCCAATGAAAGCATATTTTCTATCGAACTTATTTCCCGCACCTAATAACTGATCGATTTCGAAATTTCAACAGAACCAGTAATGATTTTAATGCCCTACATATTTGATGTTTGCGTTGACGGTTTCTACAAAGATTCTTGTCCATACCATTTTATTAACTGCAACAAGAAGGAATACTTATTTAAGAGAAGTTTCTGAAGCATCAAACATGTGTACCTGCGCATGATACCAGAAATTAACAATGATTGGTGCCAATCAATCATTGATAAATGTTTTATTGAGCATAAAAAATAATAACTGTCAAAATTTGAAGCGTAACATAGACGTTCCATCTGTAATATTACAATATTTGGTACATTACTAAGTATGTAAGTAATGAAGCCTTTTCGGGATGTAATGAAACCTCATCTTCGCCTTATCTTATCCTTATCGTTTAGAAGGCAATAAAATTACATTTTCACGCTCGATGTATTTCAGCGAATTATAAAATGCGTTTGTCATGCCTAAATCAAGTGAATGCTATGTATAATTTAATTAACTTGGTTTTACTTGCAATCAGGGAAATAATCAGGACTTTATCTGTTGCGCGCATCATTAGCTTTCAGTTCATGTCTTTAATTTGTCATGTACATTGTATTTGTAATTTAATAATGAAGGTTATTAATTACCATAGGTTTGGATTAATTACATTCAATGAAAGATGAAACCAAGGTTTTGAGCTATTATTATTTGCGGCTCAGGTATGCGCAGCAAGAAAGTAGTGGTTGTTAAAATACTGCTATCAGGAGTTGTTTTAGCGCATTTTCTCATTTATGGAACAAATGCGCTATTGTGCTCGCCATGCCCGTCTGTCCGTCCGTCTGCCTGTCCGTCCGTCCGTTTGTCTGTCCGTCCGTGACTTCACGTTGTCGTCGACGAGAAAATGCGCTCTCTGTCACTAACTGCAGTGAGTACTGAGTTATATTTTTTTAGTTTTTACATATCGATCAAAAAATAACCATCACATTTACTTCGCTGACAGTCATCATTATCAACCAGAGATAGGAAATTCAGGAACGGTCAGCTCGCTGGATTGATAATAATGGTAAAATGAAGGTGGACATCTTATAACTACAAAAAAAAAGAAACGTAAGCACGAACAGAAATCATTAAATGGTATAGCGGGTTAATTTGTATTCGTACCTAAAATTCCAGCCTTCTTCTTTCTGCTGCCGCCGCACTCGATCCTAAATGAGGGACCGGAAAATAATAATTTTTGGATTATCTACAGAGTATCTTTAACGATCACGAGGTTCACGTGGTGGCTCCATGCGATATAATCATCCGTAATTTTCTAATTATGTAGAATGTTTGACCTGTAAAGGACCAGCTGTTAGACCAATATCAACCTGACTTACGGATTTATTATTTTTGTTCATTTTGTGGAGTCAGTCCAAGCGGAGTAAAATGCCTATAATCTGGACATTCTTTGTGCTTCGACATCTTTAAAAATTGTGTTACATTATATTCGTACCATATTGCCCACGGTAGGAAGCCAGCCACGGAACTGTGTCAATCTCATTTAATACAATGTTCGAAGATCCTAAAATATTTACCTTTTCATATTAAAGTTGATATTTTCCCACCCCAGATGTCCTGTCCAAATGCAATAACGACTTGTGTGAGGTAACACGAGTGGTTACGACGCTTCCCAACGGGGAACAACTTTGTAGCTATTGCATCTTCAACATACTTCCTGAGCCTGAATTCGAAGAGGATGAAAGTTTCGTTGCCTTAAAATTCGTGAAGGAGGATCTACCTGCTTGTACCACCTGCAAAACTGAAAAGTATCTGCTAGATTTTGCTGGAAAAGTTGTACGCGGGCCTGAGATTTGTACTGAAACCATCAAAACATCAGGTCAATGATCGATTATAATAACATAAATGATTAAAGTGTCCAAAAGTATTCGATAATATTGTGCATGCATTGAAATGGTGCTGGGAAGAGTTGTGGCCGTGCGATGATTATCTGTGAAGTATGACTAGAACTGACTGAAAAACATCTTCAATTTTGATTTTGCCTATTTTTATTTCTTACGATTAAAGCAAACCTAGAGTTGAATAATTAAGTCATATAATGATGTACCGAACTAATAGGGGTTAACTGTTTGCTTGAAGATAATTATCTGCACACACATTCCAGCTCGCGAAAAATAATAAATTCTTTATGTCCCAGCACCATCCGCGGTCGAGTTCCACGCAAGTTTCGAAGCTGCTCAGGGCATAGCCATGTCGTGGGAGACTCCGCACACTGCCTGCCCTATTAGTCGCTACCAAATTTCTCACTCAGTTCTTGATCTCAACGACCCTCTCCAGACCAAGACGATTCAATCCATTAACTTGGACAGCCACTATTCAAACTACATCCTAGACAATGTGAAGCACAACTCGTTGTATGAGGTGTGCATGACTGCAGTCGCAGTCGGCGAAGAATCAGGCCCGGAAACCTGCAAGTCCATTTTGATTCCAAAATTAGGTAAGCTCAACGTGTTGCGTCGTTGTGCGTTTTCCTTCACAATTTGCCATTAAAACTGGACTGAGAACTTGTGCACCTAAATAATTTGGTTCACTCTATGCAGAGTAAATATAACATATTTCATGAACTGGTTCTCAAGTACCTGAATTAATTACTCACAAGATTAGCGGGGTAAAACCAAGAATCCAGGAAGATATTTTTCATGTTTTGAAATATATTATTGGCTTAATTTGAACACGATGGAAGTGAATCCAAGAAATCATTGTTGCATATAACTAATCGACCCGGAGGGCATCTGCCAGTTAATTTAATAGCAACCTCAAGATTATTATTGTTAATTTTTTATACATTTTAGGAGTCGAGCAGCTAGAAGCGAAGATTGAAGCTGACCAGGGAATTAAAGTGTCATGGCATCTTCCAAAAACTCTCAGCGATCTCATTCATTACGACATTTCCTACACGCAAAAGGATCTTGGAAACAGTGACCAGCCCAAGACAGTAAAAATATTCAGAGTGGAGAGCAGTTATTCTACCCACGTGCTGAGTGATGTTCAGCCCAACTCGTCATATGAGATTTGCGTCTTCGCATTGCTTGAGAATTCCTCCGGTGGAAAGACTTGTACATCCATAGAGACTCCGAACGAAAGTAAGAACATTGTATTGCATCTATAAAGCGTTAGCATCTAGATCAAATATTGAATATTCACTATGAATGTCATGGAAAAGTATAGAAGAGATTTGATATTGGCGAGTCTCTTTAAGTAGGGACTAGCCGCGTGTGAATACCCAATTAGTTCGTAAAAAGATCAATTAACCCGGGTTCAATTTAAGAGCAGCTTGGCGTTATCTCATTCCATGACATGACATCCAGTGTGGTCTAAAAAAATTATTTCATGGCGCACAACATATTTTTGATGAATTCGTTGAAATTCTCTATGAGGGTCAGAAGGAAGTATTTGATGGGATCGACTGAGGATTAATTTATAAAGTTTTCTTAGTATTAATTAACAACACTGCAACATAACTGCCATTCAATAAAATAGGTGCACATGGGACGGACATCAATGATGCCATCTCTTTCTGTTGATTGACTGTTCTGCCAGTCCTCGAGAGCCGCGGCCATGCGGAGGAGTACAACATGTACGCGGCCATGCGGAGGAGTACGGCTGACGTCCAACCTTCCAATGTCCTAGTAAATTACCACACCATATTTGCTCATACACATTTACACATCTCGAATAACTTTCATTCCGAACAAGACTTAGTGCTGTGGTAAAAATGCACAATGAACTTTGTGGCATGTTTGTGTATGTACCAGAAATGCATCGCATAACATAATCTCTGACGAAGTCGCATTATTTGAGGTACAAATTTATTATTGAATTCTAGTTTAAAATCAATCTTTGGAGTGATTAATTTCAAATTTTTATTTCGAACACTCGCAAATAAGAAACAAGTGTAAAATCTCGTAGTACTACAAAAGTTTCCTGCAAATTTAGAAAATATAGACGCGACCACGTCGAAGTGAATTTAGAGGCTCAAACCCTGTCGTCAAAACAGAGTAGACAGGCGTGACAAATTACAAACTGTAAGCGAGTAGCAAAGATAAAAACTATATAAAGTTTGAAGAAGCAACTTTAATGACTTAACAGATTACTTCGTGTCTATCATGGACTAATTGACTTAAGATATAGTTGTTTAAGAGCTGCGATTAAATGATAGCTGGGTGAAAATTCAATAGGTCCTGACGTTAGAATTTATAAAACTCTGCCTTATTCATCCCAATTGTGCTACAAGAAACTTGTCCTAAAGTTTCTTGAGTTAAAGTAAAGTTTAAAGTATGAATTGTAGCTGGAAACTTACACTGGCAGATCGATGAAGGGCATGGGTGAATACTGCATTCTTTTTCAAAATGATGATTTGGATGCGAAATTTCGTCAGCCCCTGCATTTCTCATGAATTTTATCTTGTATGTTTTTTTTTCTTTTTGCAGGTCATGGACGTTCCTTCGTCGGAAATAAAGGCAATTATGGACAATTTCTTGACTGAGAAGGAGAAGCTGATTCTTCTGAGTGGAGCCGGTTATGATCAGTCAAAAAGCAACAGCAATGGAGTGAATCCACTACCTGTTCAGGGCCTGATGACCGCAGCCGTTTTTCTGTTAACAGGGGTACTACTGTGAGTTGCTTTCAGGCTCCACGGATAAGTTCAAAGTTGTAAGCCCTCACACTAGGTGATATCGCACGCGCTTATAATGACGTGCATGGGTGAGTGATAGGTACGGAATAGAAAATAGTTCCGTGCCACAAAAATGACTAAAAACTAGATCGAAACGTCGAAGTAGGAAATACCTTGCATTATTGATTCTAAATATTGAGAGTGCTTACACGCACAGCTGTCACATTTCTTTCAACTCGACTCGCAATGAAGAAAAATAAATATGCATAGAAGATTCAATTAATTTCAAGACATTTAAGAAGATTCATTATGCAAACGGTTTACCTGTTGTTAAATATGACAAATCTAAGAAGAATAATTCTACGGTATTCTGATCTCCTGTGATGCATTGTTTAGGGTGGGGCTGTGTACATTTAAGATTGCCGCTGAGCTTAACCGGTTGCCTACTTCCTAAATTTGAGAGCTACTTTTACAATGCCTTCATTATTTGCATGGTGATTTCATCAAATTCATTCCTTTAGCCCGATTAGACGTCAAGGCCTCGGTACAATAGTATCTAGTGAATACGTTGTTGGGGACCACCTGGTTCTCATGAACTGTTTATGTGAATAAAAATCTTCAGTGGTATATACACTATAGTTAACGCCACGAAAAAGTTTCACACATTAGCCAGCGTGAAAAATCGTTCAGCGTAAAATACAGAGGCTTAGACCGCTCTCCACCTGTCCAATATCATCATAATATCCGGCCAATTTTTTGGGTTTCCGAAATAGTTTGTCATTCGAATTTGATCGAATGTGATTTTAATTTGGAGTTTCCCCGAGACAATTTTAAGGGGAGCGTCTAGGGTAAAATTTTGGATTTCGGCTTTTCCGGTTTTTAGTCTCATCTTAAAGCTGACATTCTGATCTATCCAACGGTACCAAAACCATCTCTGTACGTTGATTTATGCGCTCACGACAGATCATGAAAGGGAGGGGGGTGGGTAGTTCTTTAACAAATAGAATGGGAGGAAATTCGCTGCGAGCACTTTAAATAGAGTGTCTGCTTGAAGTGCACCTTAGTTACCCGCCTGGCGTCGTATGAGGGGTGCATGCAGTCGCTCCCACCATCCTTGACTGGAATCAAGCTCCAGTAACGTTTAGTTTTGTATCCTTGCTACATTGAGTGCCTATTTCGATGCGCGCGGGACTTTGACGGGCTCTACTGAAAAGTTAACTTATTGTCACTGCAAACCTATCTCCTCCTAGAGTTTTTAAGCTACAACAATGAGACATATACCATTCGATGCGCAACAAAATTATCTAGAACGTAACACGGGCGTTTTTCTGATTTCGTTATAGTTTGGATTTTATTCCGCAAAAGGGGGGTGGCGGGGGAAAATCGAAAAATTTTCGAAATATTTACGAAAAATGCTCCCACACCCACAAAAATGAGAAATCCTAAAAACCCTCGTGTTGCGTTTTAGATATGGTCTTTACGCATCGAATGATATGTATCTCAATGTTGTAGCTTGAAAATCCTAGGAGGAGATAGATTTCTACGGTACCCCCTTTTTTGGCCGTTTTCTAAGAATTTCACGTTTTCTTTCATTTTTTTCGAAAAATTTACACGAAGAAAAATGTCTTAGAATTCTATTTTACATATGTGTACCAAGTTTCAGAGTGATCCGTTCGTAAATAGCCGAGATAAATTTTACCCTAGACGCTCCCCTTAAAAAGTTAGTGTAGGTGATGTCAGAGTCTAGATACGATCAATTCTAGGTGACGACTTGATTTATAACATAGTATAATTATGAGTGGATGTGATTAATTTTATTTTAAAATATCTGATTCAGTAAATTGGTAGCGTTAGACAATAGTTCTTATGTTATGCGTGTTCTATTGAAGACCAGATAAAAAAATTTCTGATTGAATGTTTCAACGAGTCTGACGCTATTTATCGTTGACATTAGTAAGCATGACTCAATAAATTGCTTTAACATGGGAAAGATGTTCCGAATGAACATTATTCAATATGAGGCTTGATGAAAGTTTAGCAACTCTTGGAGATGAAAAGATTTGAGAGCGCATTGAGTATGATAGATATAAATCAAAAATATGGATAGAACGACAGAATTTTTACCTATTTGCATAGTAGCTTTGAGCATAATTTTCGAGGTATATGTGCAATACCTTCATTTCCTTGTTGTTAATAATGTTGAATATTCAAAGTTCAATAATGTATTATTAATGTGTTATTCAAAATAATATGTTATTCAAAGTTAAATTCAACATTCGATCATTATTCATTCAATGAATAAATCTTATGAATAATGTTGATTCATATTGAAGTTAACTTTAAAAACAGCTTTTTGATTAACCGAAATAACATTCGCCTCATGACAAAAAAGTGAACTAAAAAAATTCATGCTCTGCCCGTCAATAATAATCTGCTTATTTATGTACAAGTGTTTAATTTCTGGTTCTCAAATGCACTTTTCTTGTATATTTCGTTCGCCTGAAGCATGCGTGTCTCCAACATTTTACTTTAATTCAGTTTTATGAGCATCTTAGAGTTTCAGTTTCGGTGTTGGCTCTTAAGTGAAGAGGCGGAAATGTACAGATTCTGAAGTACAGATTCATCTGTCCATTTGGTGAGCTGAATTTGTCGCACATCGCGCTTGCTTTCGCCCTGGGGTTAAAGATCAAAAACATTTTCGATGAGCCGATTAACTTCGCCAACTTGCCACTGAATTTTGGAGTACTAGCTCGTAACGACCAATAAATAGAAACATATGGAAACAAATTGAAATTGTAGGACAAACAATTATTCCCTGTATTTACAATTTACATGTTATCCTTTGATTCAGCTGGATTTATCTTCAATGACTATCATTCAAATCACTAAAGGAAAAACTAAGACTGAGATAAAAGATATTGAAATTAAATATTTCAAGAGAATTTGGAAACACGTGGAAATAAAAATTTAGAGAGCTATTGTGTTTGCTCATGAGCTATTTCGAAAATCGATTAAAATTTAACATTATCGTAATAATCAAAACTCTGTGAAGATTTCCTTTAGAATACAATCCACTTGACGCCATTATCCTAGTTAAATGCAATTAATTCACTAGTTGAATGAGAAATATTCTATTCAAAAATTTATTTCTTGTTAGTCATTTAAAATTGTAAAATCTCCAATGATTGATGACAGAAAAGATTTTTATGGAGGAACGTACTTTACGTGTGATAATGTATTTATATCAGTCACAGGCACTTACATTTTTGTTGTATTTGTTTACATGTGTTCCGCTAGTACATACACGTCAAACATTCACTCGCATCTTTTCTTGCTGCCGATGACCTCCAATCTCTCTGACTGTATTCTGTTCTTTATATTTATTAGTGTCGCGCATGTCGGGTCAATTCATAGAATTATTCTCAGTCTTACTCATATTTTTCATAGGTCGGTTATTAACATTGAACAATTGCGACGTGTTTTTTCGTTGTCCTCACCACCCGGAATCTAAAAAAATCGCATGATAAAAACCTGGAACTTTTATCAACCACACGTAAGGGAATATAAAAAAATTAATAGACTAAACTCATTGTAGGTAGAGCTTTGAGAAATGTTTACAATTAGTATAGCTCCCTAACGGTATTGTTGATTGATGGATTACCATAAGCATCACTTCGCTAACTCACGTCTGAGAGCTCCAAGTCCCGGGAGATGAAGAACTCTGCCCTCAGTCTCCTGATGAGCTTCACTTGAATGGGGGACTTGGTTTCGGACCGCGGCCAGTAGGGGCGCCATTCTTGCGGGGACTTGGGAAATAAGCAAAGAGAATCGGTCATCGCCAAGCAACACTGTTCAATGACTTCTCCATTACTTGACCGAGAAGGACGCACGCGAGCTGAATGCACAATTGAATAAATCGAGTTTCTTGGGAAAATTGCTGCAAAATAGACCACAGAAAACCCAATTTTGAACTTAAGCGATTCCGAGTTCTATTCATTGATTCTTGAAACGTGAAATCAAGTTTCTTTATGATTTATACAATAACGTTAATTGGTGTATACTTTACGAGGAAATAAAATTTCATCGGCATTGTCCTTAATACAATTACAATTGATTTTCTCGGAGGTGATTTTTCAGGCTCCTTCAGTCACCATAACCTATATCACTTCCTCAATGTTGAATAATCGGAAAGGAACTTATGAGTGTCCAATAAAATTTTAACGTAAGTTCTTCTTGGCTCAACCTTACGTTTTAAAAAATCGATGCATAATTCTATCATTTTATTTTAATACTAGTATTATTAGTATTATTATTATTATTATTATTATTATTAGTATTATTATCAATTATTTGCTTGATATTGAAGGTAAAATTCAAACGACCGAATTGCTTGAGGTTCTTCTTGATAATGGCCCGTATGCTAAATAGGGCACTAGCACTACGAAGTAGCACTACGCACTACAAGCCATAGTGCGGCATGGAACACTACGGTTGGCATGCTAAATAGGGCCAAAAGCATAACGCGCACTACAAAAATCTGAAGTGTCCTCACCATCACAATTTTCACTAGTACCATTACCATCACAATTAGACATTTTACATCAATCTTCTGCAAAGAATGAGAATTACTTAGGGAATAATTAATTATTTGAGCACTTAACTACCATTCTCCAATAGACTCATAGCGTAGTATGGCACTATAAAGTACTCTAACAGCGAAGTAGCACTTCAAAGTCTTTCTGCATACGAATCAGTAGTGCGACACTAAGCGACACTAAACATTGTAGAGCTACTTCGAAGTGCTTACTGTCTGTGACGTATTTAGCATACCAACAGGACACTTCGTAGTGCATAGTGCTACTTCGTAGTGCTAGTGCCATATTTAGCATACGGGCCAATATCGGCCTGGTTGGTTCATTAAATCATACTTGGCGTGAACTTTGGAGCAGCTTTAACTTGCATTTAAACGTTCAAAATTCTAATCATATATTCATCTTCATATTCGTATAGTGCAGTTATCTTGCCTAAATTGTAACCCACAGGTAAGATCAGCAAATATGTTTAATGGAAACTTCTAATTTATTCTCGCATACCATTCATTAGACGCGAAGTTTTCCATGTAGTCTGTATTGTTTCTGACGATCAATGGTCTCGCCTTGATGGCAAGAAATTGATTTGAAGTTGATTATCAACTAATTAATGGAAAACAATCTCGATCCGTCGATCAGCCGTTACGTTATTAAACCAACTACTGATTCTATTCTTTAAATTGGCTCACGTAACAGCCTGTTGACAAATTGAACTGTTGTGAAAAATTTAATAGGCTGACTGGATCTCTTCTACGGACTTGTGTTAACTAGACCATGACCGCACTCATAGATTCCAGTCACCTTGAATAAAACCATTTTCATTCTTTGAGTAATCACTTGAGAGAAATTAGATATTATCTTCCAAATAATTCCGCCCGACGACTTCCCAGTCGAATTTCGGATTCCACATATGTTCGCCCCGTGTTCCATCGACTCAGCCGGCTTAGAGGTGAATCAGCTTCAAATCGGCCACCTACACTATTCGGCTGAAAATTAGGAGCTTATTGCGGAAGCCTATTGCACGATGGGCCGAATCTGCGTAATATAACCAAAAAGAGCTGCCGATCAAGCTGTCTCATGTCAGACGCTAGTATTGGAGCGAACCATGACCATCTCCCGCTCATGGAATGGCGTCGATGCATGCACACGCGTACGTTTGTCAAGGCGTACGATGAAACGAAATGAGAATTTACTTTACATCTTTTTGAGCTTACGTGTTGTAAAATAATAATTTCATGAGCTATAGGACAAAAGTACTGTATTTGTATTTTT